AACCCATACCTCTGTACATGACAGCGAATTAACATCTCATCCTAAAGGATCTGAGCCACATCAAAATCATGGCCATTGGCAAAGCACCAAATCAGAGCCGCCCGGGGACCATTCACCTCAGTGGTGTTTCCTGAAGGCAGCATGCGGTTATTGATGATGTAGAGCTAGAACTTCCCTTCAAAGGTAAGCGAAGCCGAGTGAAATTTTTGCCCCTCCTTTTTCCACACTACCTCCTTGCCAGGTACATAAATGGTTGCAAAGAACAAGTGCCACATGTATGGTTCTTTGCTATGCGTGGCATAATAGTCACCTGTATCAGGGTCTTCCACATATTCCGACAAATGATAGGCCTTTCGGATGGCATCTCTGGAGACATCCACTCTCTTTTTCCTGACTGTGCAGACATGGTCTTCATGTTCTGGGCAGTTTGCATAAAACTCCCGAACAACCATTAGATTTGCTTCATCGGGTTCTTAAAATAATACCCCCAAGCGTCGCCTGACCAATTCATTATACACTCTGGTGCAGTCTGGAGAGACCCAATATCAATTCCCCTCTCTGGTATGGGCTTCTTGCTTTCCTTATTTTGGAATCGTTCCCGGGCTTCCCAGGAAATGAACTTGTTCTGATCATACGGGCGAGCAGATGCCGAAGCTCGTGACCGGGATGTGCCTGCTTGACCACTTGTGGAGGCACCTATGGTTTTTCGTTTCTTGGATGGCGCCATAGTACCTGTAACAAACTACCACTATTAGCTAATGAATCACATGGTGAACCAAGAGAGGCTACACAGACTTCACCCTCATACTTGGTCACAAAATTATATTTTCAATCTCATTGTGGCATTTATACAAACATTTAACATGCATCACTGGTACTAACCCCCACAAAGCAACTTTAGCCCTAGCTTGACTAAGAATACACCACTTTTACTCCTAGCAACTATATGGTCAGCCTCCATGGTGAAACTCAACCTCCACCCACACGAGAAAAAGAACAAAAAAAAGAGAGAAATAAAAACAAATTGCCACTCACAAGCAAAATAAAACAAAATTCATAAAAGAGAGAGAAATCATCTCACTTACCTAAGGGGACTCTGGGAAAGAAATCTCATGAGAATAGGTGAAGGGAGAGGAGTAGGGTGGTGGTGTGGTGTTATTATTTTCTTATAGAGAGGATATGAGAAAAGGATAGGGCAATTTAGGGTTCGTTAGTGTAGAGGGAAGGAAAAGGGAAAAATTAGAATTGGGGGTTAGGGGGAGTCCAAATTAAAAGGAAAAAGGATACACTTACCTGATGCGCGGTCGGTGCGCGGTTGGGTCATACCGTGCGTGGCCGCGCATGTTTGGCAGTGTACTGCTGAATATGCACGGCCATGTGCGCGGTCGACCCTTCAGGTGCGCGGCCACGCATGTTCCGCCTCAGCTGACGTTGCCTTTTGCGCTACCATATGCACGAGGTGCCCCACAAGGTGTGCGGTCGCACACATATACATTCAAAAGGGGCCTTTTAGACACCTCAGTTCCTACCTTCCGTGACATGTACCTTCCTGTACCTACCACATCATAATATACACTAATTTCTATCTATTCTACGCTATAAACAAAAGTGAAAAAAATCTAACTAGTAGAAGAGTTAGAGGTAGTTCTGAGTTATAGTCGTCAACTTGACTCAACCGGGCATCCTCAACTGATTTTGATGCTCGAGGATTGCTGAGCAAATTCTCCAGCAAGATACGGTTTTATCCTGTGTCCATTCACTTTGAAACTCTCCGTTCCGTCCTGGTTCTGGATCTTAATTGCCCCATATGGTGATACATGTTTCACCACATACGGTCCCGTCCATCTAGACTTAAATTTTTCGGGGAACAATCTGAGTCTACTATTGTACAGTAAGACTTTGTCCCTTTCATGAAACTCCTTAGGCTTAATCAGACGATCATGCCACCTTTTATTCTTTTCTTTGAAAATTTGCTCAATTTCATACGCGTCTAGTCTAAACTCCTCAAATGAATTCATCTGAGCCAACTTGTGTTCACCTACGAGACTAAGATCAAGATTAAGTATCTTAATTGCCCAATAAGCTTTATGTTCTATCTCAACAGGTAGGTGACACGATTTTCCATACACTAGTGTGAACGGTGAAGTCCCTATGGTTGTTTTGAACGCAGTTATGTACGCCCATAGAGCTTCTTCTAACTTTACAGACCAATCCTTACGAGAAGCACTAACCGTCTTTTCAAGAATTCGTTTAAGTTCAAGGTTAGCCACTTCAACTTGCCTACTAGATTGGACATGGTACGGGGTTCCTGTTTTGTGTGTGACCCCATACTTGGATAGCAGCACAGCAAACTGCTTGTTCACAAAGTGTGACCCATTGTCGCTGATAATCACTCTAGGTGTCCCAAAGCGGTTAAATATGTTCTTCCGTAATAACTCACACACTTCCCGATCATCATTGGTTCTAGTAGGGATTTGCTTCGACCCACTTAGAGACATAGTCAATGACTACTAGGACATACTCATAAGAATGTGATGATGGGAACGGAGCCATAAAGTCAATGCCCCAAACATCAAAAATTTCACATATCAGAATGGAGTTGAGAGGCATTTCGTCCCTCTTGCTAATATTACCTGCCCTTTGACATTTGTCACATGCACCTACATACGTTTGTGCATCTTTGTACAACGTAGGCCAATAGAAACCAGCTTCCATGACATTTGCTGCAGTGCGATTTCCACCATTGTGTCCTCCAACTGCTCCATCATGGCAGTGAGAACAGAATGCTTGCCATCTCTCCATCAGGCACACATCTTCAAATCACACCATCTACACACAGCTTAAACAAGAAAGGGTCATTCCAAAAATAACATTTTACCTCACTTTGCAACTTCTTTTTCTGATCGGAGGTCAAGTCGTGTGGTAGCCACCCACTAGCCAAGAATTTGGCTATGTCGGTGAACCATGGTGGTCTATTGGAGACTGCTGCAATGGAAAAAATATGCTCTTGTAGGAACTCTTCCCGAATGTCGACTGCTTCAACAGGTAGTTTCTCCAATCGCGACAGGTGGTCAGCCACTTGATTTTCCGTGCCCTTCCTATCCTAGATTTCTAGATCAAATTCTTGCAGCAACAATACCCACTGCATCAGACGCGGTTTGGACTCTCTCTTACTCAGCAAATATTTTAGTGCTGAGTGATCAGTATGCATTATTACCTTGCTTCCCACCAAATATGATCTGAACTTGTCAAAAGCAAAGACTATTGCAAAGAACTCCTTCTCTGTGGTAGCATAGTTCACCTGAGCATCATTCAAGGTCCGACTTGCATAGTAAATAGGTCAGAATAGTTTATCTCTCCTCTACCCCAGCACTGTTCCTACTACCTCATCACTGGCATCGCACATTATCTCGAAAGGTTCACTCCGGTTAGGAGTCACCATTATGTGGGCACTCATTAGCTTTTCTTTGATCAGTTCGAATTCTCTGAGACACTTCACAGCAAATACAAATTCCACATCCTTGGCAAGTAATGTAGTTAAGGGCTTGTAATGCTGGAAAAATTCTTAATGAACCTTCTATAGAAACCGGCATGCCCCAATAAACTTCTGATGCTCTTCACTGAGGTCGGTGGTGTAAGCTTGGCTATCACATCTACTTTAGCTCTGTCGACTTTAATACCTTCAGCTGTGACTTTATGGCCCAGGACTATCCCCTCCTTAACCATGAAGTGACACTTTTCCCAGTTGAGTACTAGATAAGTGTCCTCACATCGTTTCAGAACAACTTCGAGGTTCTTCGAGCAATCTTCAAATTCATCTCCAAATAGAGTAAAATCATCCATGAACACCTCCAGACACTTCCCATTAAAATCTGAAAATATTGACATCATGCATCTCTGGAAAGTAGCTGGTGCATTGCATAGTCCGAATGGCAATCTACGGTATGCAAATATTCCGGACGGGAATGTAAAGGTGGTTTTCTCAACATCCTTGGGAGTAATGGCTATTTGATCGTACCCTGAATATCCATCTAAGAAGCAGTAACATCCACGCCTCGCCACCTTCTCCAATATCTTATCAATGAAAGGAAGAGGGAAGTGATCCTTCCTTGTTGCATCATTTAATCTCCGGTAGTCTATGCACATCCTCTATCCAGTAACTGTTCTGGTAGGAATTAGCTCGTTGTCCTCATTTTTTACCACCGTCATGCCCTCTTTTTTCATCACAACCTGTACGTGGCTAATCCATTGACTGACAGAGATAGAAAATATTATGCCTACATCCAGCAATTTGAGTAACTATTTTTGAACTACCTCCTTAAGATTTTTGTTCAATTTGAGTTGGGTCTGCACCACCGGTTTACTCCCTTCTTCTAACAGGATCTTGTGCATACAGATTGCACGGCTGATCCCTTGAATATCGGCTATACTCCAACCGATTGCCTTTTTATGCTTCTGTAGTAACTCCACAAGCATGTGTTCCTGTTCACTTGTCAAATTAGCAACAACAATCACGGGAAAATTGTTAGTATCTAAAAAAGCATATTTCAAATGTGTCGAGAGTACTTTCAATTCCAGCTTCGGCTTGCTCTTTTATTTCATGAATTCTTCTTTATCTACCACTTGGTTCTCATCTTCCAGCGCATCAACTTCCTTCTTGATCTCAGGATCTTCGTCCTCCGTTGTACTTGATTGACTAATACATCTCTCTAGTAAGTCACCTACCAGCTTATCTAGTTTGTGTTGTTCAGCTAACTCTCTCATCACATCTAGTTTAAGACAAGCATAGGCAGATGCCTTATCACATGGGTATTTCATCATTCTCTTAATTTGAAACATCACTTTTTCATTTCCCACTCGTAGCATGAGTTGCCCCTCATATATATCAAGAATAGCCTGGCCAGTGTAAAGGAATGGTCTCCCTAGGATTATAGGTACCTCCTTATTCACTTCCATATCTACCACGATGAAGTCTACTGGGAAAATAAATTTTTCTACCCTTATAGAATGTCCTCAATTATGCCCTCCGGTATGATCGTGGTCTGATCAGCCAGTTGCAAGGATACTGGCATAGATTTGATCACTCCTAGCTCTCCTTCCAATTTCTTGAACACCGATAATGGCATCAAGTTAATGGATGCACCTGAATCGCATAAGGCTTTGTCAAAATTTTCGCTACCCAACGAGCAGGGTATAGTGAAACTGCCAGGATCCCTACACTTCTTAGGAATTTTGTTCTGTAGAATGGCACTACAGTGAGCATTGAGTTTTACCACTTTTGTTTCCTCGAGCTTCCTTTTGCTTGAGAGGATTTCCTTTAGGAATTTTGCATAGGCTGGCATCTGTGTGAGCACCTCCGTGAACAGGATGTTCACATACAACTGTTTCAGCAACTCTAAGAATTTCCCAAAGCATTTGTCTAATTTCTCCCACATCATCTTTCGAGGAAAAGGTAACAATGGCATGTGCTTGCTTTCCTCGACTGCGCTATTCACCTTCTGCTTATCAACATCCTTGCTGCTAACATTCTCCTTAGGCAAAGATTCACCAATTTTTTTGTTCTTTAGCTATCGTGGTTGAGTTGATCTCCTTCTCATCCCTTGGTTTTGCCTTTGGCTCTGCTAATGTTTTCCCACTCCTGAGAGACACATCTTTGATTGTCTCTTTTGGATTCTTGGCAGTGTCTTCCGGCAAAGTCCCCGGCACCCTTTCTGACAACAATGTTGCAAGCTGCCCCATTTGTCTTTCCAAATTCTAGATGGTTATGCCTTGCTCCCTGATAGCGGTCCCTTGAGACTCAAGTTTCTCATCGGATTTATTTATAAATACCTTCATTAGATCTTCTAAACTTGAGTTGTTGGGATGCGGAGGTTGGTATGGTTACCTCTGTTGAGTTTGGAAACCAGGCGGTCCTTGCACTGGTGTTCTGGGATTTTGTTGCTGCCATGAGTTCAAACTACCAGTTAAAGAACTCCATGAGAACCCTGGATGTACCTTTCCCATAGAATTGAAATTACCACCTCCTTGGTAGTTGCCTCTGTTGAAGTTCCCCATAGCGTTGACTTCCTGAGTTGTAGCTTGACACTCATGTGTCGGGTGTCCCAATCCACAGATGTCACATCCCACCTGTGGTTGATTTTGCACCTGAGCTAGCGTCAGTTGCTTGAGGTCCTTAGCCATAGCTGCAATTTGGGCATGCATTGCTACCAACGATTCTACTTGGTGCACCCCTACTGATCTTCTTCGGTCCCCTTGATCAGTGGACCATTGTTCTGCATCTTCAGATAGTTCATTCAGATGATTGACAATCTCTTCAGGAGTTTTCTTCATCAGAGGACCTGCAACCGCACTATTCAGCAATCTCCTTGATGACGGGTTTAAACCGTCCCAGAAGTCCTGGAGTTGCATCCATTGCTTCATTCCGTTATAAGGGCACCTCCGAAATAGATCCTTAAATCTTTCCCATGCCTCGAACACTGTCTCTCCTTCACCTTGGCAGAAACTGTGAATCTCTTTCCTCATTCGTCCAGTCTTAGCGGTAGAGAAATATTTTTCTAAGAACTTGGTAGTCATCTCCTCCTACGTACGGATTGACCCTATGGGAAGACTTCTCAACCACTACTTTGCATCATCCTTAAGAGAGAACGGGAACGCTCTGAGGTAGATGGCATCATGTGATGCTCTATGGGTTTCCCTATGAATATGCAATTATTCTGAATGGTCTAGATGACTCCCTGTTTGAGTCCAAAATTATTGGCATCAATGGGTGGGGGTCTCACACTAGATTGTTATTGGTTGTACACCGGTCTGGCATAATCTCCTAGCGACCTCCCAAGTCTAGGAGCTGCATTTTCAAATTCATCTTCGATCATGTTTCGATTAGGAATGAACCTTCGTTCCCCGTCAACCGTTTCATCCGCAATTCTATGGGCTGCTTCAGTTGCTAACCGTGCTTCTTGTTGCTGAGCCGCCTCTCTCGTAGCTAGGTCCACAACCTCTTCGTTGTTCACCATTGTATTTTGAGTTGAAGGCTGACCCAATAACAACCCGCTCGATTCTTTGTCTCTTATCAACTACCTCAGGTGCTTATCTAACTCTGGGTCATATGGCACCATGTCCTTTGAAGAGGATCGAGTCATACACCACTGAACTTAACTTGTTGCCTGCACACAGATGAGAAGAGCGTAAAAAAGGAAAATAAAATAAAGTTGTTCCTGAATTAGCACTGAAAATTAATTCAAACACTATTAATCGCCAATTCCCGACAACGGCGCCAAAATTTGATGAGCACAAAACTGGTGTATAAAACGTAGGCTCACTAGTCAAAGATAGTATAGTATTAAATCATCTCCATAGGGATTGGTTTAAATAATGTTCTAATAAATCTTCAACTCAACACTATCCAAGATTATCTATTATAAGAAACTAATGGCAATTTAATGACTAAGTAGCAACTATTGAATATCAAGGTGAGAAATAAGGGTTGTGACAAGATAAACGGTCAACTATTATTCCAGGTAACTCTGTGTTAAGTTCACTCTTAACTTCTATTGACTCCTTTGATTTCAACAAATGATTAGGCTACCATAGGGATTCAAATTCTTCTTTCGAATGAATGAGAGTTCCCTTAATCAACCTAATAACAGGTTCTATGAACATATTCATAAATACAGTGAATGAATGATCCTTCGAAAAACACCTCTCGATTATTCTTCTAAACTAGGTTAAGTGATAACTCCCTAAGTTCCTTCGATTACCTAGAAGAGGCATAAAATCAACCCACACAATATGACACAATGCAAATTGCAGCAAAATTCTCTTTCGATTAGACTAAAACCATAATAAGCCTTGCAATTCAATTAATAACTCATTCAATAAATTCGGGAAATTAACAAAGAGTAAAACCCAAAACAATAGTTGAATCATGACATCCGTCAATAACCCTAAGGAAGATTAGTCCATAGTGGAGAATTTATTCATCACAAGAGTATTAGAAGAACAAAAAGACATTACAATTCCCAAAATCAAACAAACTTCCATATTGAATGACTTGGATCAAGTATTTTGCGTTTTCGCTGCTTCCTTCCATCTTCTCTCCCCAAAGGTTGCTCTCAAAATCCAAGATACCCTCTTTTTAGACGCGATGGGCTTCATATAGGTCAAGAGGAGTCGCCTCAGAAATTATAAAAACAGGCTTGGGAAAGTTTCCGGACTGGACGTGCGCGGCCGCGCACCTGGGCAGGTGATCGCGCTTATGGCCGCGCACTTTAGACAGTGTTCTGCTCTACGTGCGCGCCCAGTGCACGCTCAGTGCGCGCTCGCGCACCTGGATGGCTTCCTGCTCACTTCTTTGTTTCTTTCATTACGTGCACTATTGTCCATTGATCCCCGAGCACAATCCCAACTTAATCCATGGGCTTTTACTCAGACTTCAAAGCTCCAGAATAGCTCGAATTAGCTCCACAATCTCATTGTAACTCGGAATCGCTCCTACAAAGCATAAAACACACACTCAGTGCAAAATAATACCATTTAAATCTCAAATACTAGTGAAGTGTAGCGAATTAGAGTGCAATTAATGGCCAAAATACGCAATTATAGCCTACCATCAACCATATCTTGGTGGAACCAGTCATCTGAAATACTGCAAAATCGAACCCATTTGTCTCAACTATGCCCATGTTCCGCAGCACCTCATGGCAGCGGTCTAGATAATCTTGTGGGTCCTCAGAAGGTGCCCTACTGAAATGAACAGGAAAGAGCTTGGTAAACTTTTCCAACCTCAACAAAGCCTCAGAAGACATAGCGGGCCTATTACCGGCCTGTGCCGCAACCACCGACTGAACCACCCCAAGAAGCGGGGCTACTGGAGTATGATACTGGGGAGCCACCTGCTCCAGAGTGTGAGTAGCGGGAGTCTGTGCTTCTCCCCCAACCCGAGAGACGGCTGGTGCCACCGGGAATGTACCTATGTGGGCCACACTCTCCATAAGTCCCACTAAACGAACTAGAGTGTCCTGAAGCACTGGAGTGGCTATGAACCCCTTCGGGACCTGAGCTGGTCTGACGGGTACAGTCTGAGCTGGAACATCCTCCTAGTGATCAATCTGAGGCTCCACTTCATGTGCTGCTGCTCGAGATCTAGGCTGAGCTTTTCCTCTGCCCCTGGTAGTAGCTGCCACAAGGGGCTCCGACTCTTGTCCGGCTATAGATGCAGTGCGTGTTCTTGCCATCTGCGAGGGAACAAGAATAGAATGGTTCAATCATCAATGATAGAATAAAATCGCATGATAGAGAAAGAAAGAAGTGAAATTGTTCCTAAACTCCATAGCCTCTAGAAGATAAGTACAGACGTCTCCGTACCGATCCTCCAGACTCTACTAAGCTTGCTCGTGACTCGTGAGACCTAAAAAACCTAATGCTCTGATATCAACTTGTCACGACCCAGAATTCCCACCCTCGGGACCGTGATGGCGCCTAACATTTCACTCGCTAGGCAAGCCAACGTTAGGATAGTTTTTAGCCATTTTTTAACAATTCAAATTAACTGATATCGAGTAAACTGAATAAACTAAAATAAAACTGAAATAGAGTGAGAAAAAACATAATAACCATAATATCTAGATACAATCCCAGAACTGGTGTCACAAGTGCACGGGCGACTAGAATAATCCAGATAATGGTCTGAACGAAAGTAAAATTGTCTGAAATGAAATAACCAACTAGGATAAGGAACAAAGGGACTTCAGGGCTGCGAACGCCGAGCAACTATACCTCAAGTCTTCAATCCGGCAATCAATCCGAGCAATCTATTGACCGCCGCTAGGACCGACTCCAAAATCTGCACAATAAGTGCACAGTGTAGTATGAGTACAACAGACCCCATGTACTATGTAAGTGCCGAGCCTAACCTCGACGAAGTAGTGACGAGACTAAGGTAGGTCACTTACAATAACCTGTACGTAATATAATAATAATAACAGGAAAGAAACACAGGAAAAATAAGGCAGTTAACTTATAAAGTAAACTAAACCCTCAAAATCAGTAAAACCAGAAATATCAGTCCTCAGAATCTTGTATGAAAACACTGGAAGCTAACACAATGCACAATGAATACAAAACACACAATCCGTTGTGGCGCGCAACCCGATCCTACCATACAAACACAATCCTCGATTATTTTACCATATCAATATTAAGAATAACATGTAAAATCCGTAGTGGCGCGCAACCCGATCCCACTATATAATCAAAATCAATATCACAATCCTCCCTTATTTCACCATATCAAAATCACTTGTAAATCCGTTGCGGCGTGCAACCCGATCCCACCATATCAATATCAAACCTCTATTTTTTCACCCGTTGCGGCGTGCAACCCGAACCATAAATAAAAGCAATAAATGTAAGTAATTCAACAACTCATTTCACAAGAATCTCTACGATTAAGGAATATAAAAACAAGTCATAAAGGGACCTCGTCCCAAATCAAGAAACGCTACAATTACTACAAAGCAACACGACAAAAGTGTTCAGGTAAAAACAATAAGGCAAGTAGCAATTAATCATAGAAGCATGGGAGAAACTAACATTTTAATATGAGAATAATAAGTGACAAGTAGCAAGTTAAAGCATAGAAAGCAATTAACGCATGTAACAGTTAAGACATGAAATAAAATAATTAATGAAATACGAGAAATCATGGAAACAAGTATTTTGACAACGTATATACACTCGTC